GTGACGTCACCGGATCTCCGACGGAAGACCCGGAAGCCGGCGGAGAGGTGAGTACGGAGCCAAAGAACTTTGATCGATAAAAATAATTTTGATCGATCAAAAAAATTAACGATTAATCGAGGGATTAATCGTTAATTTTCCACAGCCCTATAATATTTCTGTTTGAGGTACAGCATGGAAGTCAGCAAGTCACTGAAACACAGAGTAAAAAAAAACATTATTTGAAAACCTTAAAATTAAAGGATTCAAACAGCAGCAAAAACAGTATATTCTATAACCAATTATCTGGGAACTGGTAATGTGGGTATATACACTCTCCAAAGTCATGGGAAGTTAACCTTGTCAACAAGACGGAGAGAGGTGTCATAGACAAATACCCATGGGCAATCTATAATGGGGAGGGGTGAATATCAGAATGTGAGAAGACAAATTTCTATAAAGGTGGGCAACCGCAGGATCAGGCACCGCAAATTTAAGGCAGTGTGCGCTTATAACAAAAAACATATAAAGTGCAAAAATGGGTAGTATCAACAGGGAGTTCAACATCGTAAGGGCTAAATATCTATAGCTCAGTAAGCAAAGCAGTCAATGCGGCCTCAGAGTTCAGATATGCCAGTCACTCAATGATCCTCAGCGATTTCTTCCACAAGCGGGAAGAGCATGTGTTTCACAAGGTCGGGGGGATGGGGTCTCAGAGGAAAGGTCTCCCTGAGGCTTCCTTTTTCTCGTAGTTACCTTCTGCCACAGGGAATGCTCTGGGCCCATCTTAGGTAAAGATTCTCCACCAGCAAGAGCAGGGCAAGCGATATGGAGGTCCGCACAAAAGGATGGAAGATCTTCCGGGTAACGTAGCGTGGCAGATTTACCATCTCTACTGGCTACAAGACTGAAGAGGAATCCCCATCTATAAGTGATGTTGTTGTCACGCAGGAGGGTCAAAAAAGGTTGACAAAGCCTCCTCTGTTGTAGTGTGACCCAGGACAGATCTGGAAAGACTTGAATAGGAGCACCGTCAAATTCAATGGATTTCATAATACGGGCTTTGCGGAGAACATCTTCTTTGACTGCAAGATAGTGGATTCTGCAAATCACGTCCTGAGGGAGCGAAGAGGAACCCCTGGGACGCAGGGCTCTGTGCGCTCGATCCATTTCCACCTTACGAGAAGAAGGCCAGCTCAGAATATTGGTGAAGATGGTCTGTAAGACTTCTGTTAGATCTTCGGGGCCTGTTGCCTTTGGCAAGCCTTGTATACGTAGGTTGTTGCGGCGGCCTCGGTTGTCTAAGTCCTCCACATGACGCTGGAGTTCTCTGATCGTAGAGGCCTGAGACACATATTGGGAGTGCAACTGGTGTACCTCAGTTTTGCATAAGTGCATTTCCTCATCAAGGCCCTCTACCCTCTGGGTCAACTGCTGGAAGTTGGTGTGCAGGACCTCTATCTCCGAACAACACGTGTCTCTGACCTCCTGTATTAAAAGCCGAAAGTCCTTCTTAGTAGGGATGTGTTTAAGGCATTCCCTCCAGGAGACAAAGTCATCCTCCTCCATCTCGGATTAAGAGGCTGAGGCAGGGTGGTGCAGAAGTGGGCCTCTGGATTCAGCAGGGCCCAGACGCGGTCCATGTCGTGCTGAAAGATGGCGGCCATCCGTTGCCGTCGGGTGTTCAAGCTCCTCAGGTTAAAGCTCCTCAGGTTAATGGAACCCGTCCGATCCCAGCTCCCCCCTCAATGAGGGACAGGTCGACAGTGTGGTAGGAGGCAGCTGTACTGCCTGTGGGGCTTTAGCGGAGCCAGCTCTCCCTGAGCCTGGGGTGCGCTGAGAATGAGGCATGGATTCAAGAGGGGGAGACCAGGGCTCCTGAGGCTTAGGCATGGTCTGAGGGAAGGGAGGGGAGAGGCCTCTGGGCTCACTAACAGGCTGGGGAGACATTTGAAGGGTCTGTTCGGGTGCCAGATAGGCCTCGGGGCTCTTCTCCGTGTCACTCTGGCAGGACCCAGCAGACCCACATACTGGAGTGCCCCATACACTCACCGCCCCCTGGAGAGGAAACCGCCGGTGCCTCTGACAGGAGTCTTGCAGACGTCTCAGACATCGATGCAGGTGAAGATGCTGGGGAGGAAGGAGGCATCCGATCCTCAGAGCCGATGGAGGGAGACGAGACGGGAACCACTCCCGCACACGTGGATGGCTGAGGGGTCGGTGCCATCTTTGATGCAGCTTGTGAAGCAGACGGCAGCACAAAGTAGGTTTTAATGGAGGCAGCCGACTTTTTCTTTTTCCCTCTGGGCTGGGAGGATCTGCCAGAGGATCGTGGATGGTTATCTTTCCCCATTTCAAAGTGTAGCAGCGCGTTTGTAAGGGTTAAAGCAGCGGGTGAGAGACGGAGCTCCGAGCGATCACGTCCTCTCACATAGCCAGGTAGCCACGCCCCTTTAACCCCTCTCTTTGACAAGGCAAGCTGTGATTCTGACGAAGGGGGTATGCCCCTGAAACGCGTAAATCCAGCCTAAAAGCAGCCGGTGGCAAGATGGTATGGTGATGTGAACGGAAGCAGCTTTTTATACGCAGTCGGAGTGGAACATTCGTTAGATACTGATTTTGTGGTATCTTATTCACTTGCATGACTTAAATTTTATAATTGTGAGTATTTATAACCGTTTTTATTATTCAAATAAAAAAAGATTTCACACAAGGAGGTGGTGCCTTGTTGCTTTTGTCTTCCAGAATGAATTTGTGTTGCAACGCACTGCAGTACATCGTATGTGTTGCAGTTGCTACAATAAAAGCAGCATGCACTACATTTTGTGCATTGAGGTGCATTGTAGCCTACTCATTTTGAACAAGCTGCTTAACTACCTAGCTTCTAACTAACTAGCTTCTTGGATGTAACAGGGCGTGTATACACATTAGTCCTGTTAGTCCCGCCCACTCGTGCGTGGCGCACGCGGACGGTGAAAGACACATTATTTAAAAACCCGCAGCGATGCCTGTTAACATACAAGCGATCCGCCGGCTATAGAGCTGGCGGATCGCTTGTATGGGATCCCGATATGTGCGCCGCCCCCTCCGCGGCTCCCCCCCTCCCGCTGTCATGCTGATCCCAGGCTGCGCTGTGCCCGGTGCACAGGGGATCAGAGGGAGCTCGGTAAACGGGCTCCCTCCGGTCCCCTCTCCGCTGTCAGAATGCGGAAGTGGTGTATATTACATCACTTCCGCATTCTCGTGTCACTCTCCAGCTTCAGATGCTGGAGAGAAGCTGATGAAGCAGATCTCTGCTTCATCAGCTTCTTCAGGGGGGTCCTAGGTGACATTAGGGGTCTTGGAGACCCCTGATGTCTCCATAAAGAGGACCTGTAACCTATTTTGCTATCACATAGAGGGGGTTTCTTAGCCCCCTCTGTGATAGCAATAAAGTTAAGTGAAAAAAAAAATAGAAAAAAAATGTAAAGTCCCCCCCAAATTTTTTTAAAGTTACATATAAAAAAGAATTAACATTTTTTTTTTTTTTTGTAAAAGTCCCAACCCCTACATACAAGCATGTAAACATGCGTCAGGTGCGCATACCTGCGAAAACGACGATTGCGCCCATTACGCTGCACATGTTACATATCACCACGACTGTCGCAGTGAGAGCAATAATTTTAGGGCCATCAATCACTGATAACACTAAACTGATGAGCGGTAAAAGCTTTTAAAGCGTCGCCTATGGCCAATTTTGGGTATGCTAGTTTTTTGCGATTTCGCGAGTGCGCGCAATTTTTAAGCTTGACATGTTTGGTATCTATTTACCTGACGTGACCCCGTCTTTTATATTTTACCAAAAAAGTGGGTAATATTAGTTGTTTTATAACATTATGTAAAAAAAACTTTTTTTTTTTTCAAAATTTTCAGTAATTTCTCCTGAATATAGTAAAAAATAAAACCCCCAGTGGTGATTAAATACTACCAAAAGAAAGCTCTATCTGTCCCCAAAAATGGTATAAAATTAATTTCAGTACAGCGTTGCATGACGGAATAAATGTCAGTCAAAGTAATGCATCGCTGAATACTGAAAAATGGCCTGGCCAGGTAGGGGGTCTAAACACCTGGTCTTCAAGCGGTTAATACAATGCATCACAATGCAAGAAGACGCATGGTAATACAAGAATTATCTTTTCTGATATGCAATGCAAAAACTCAGAATAAATACTGAAATGGAGCTCTGAAAATGTTTGCAACAGTCCTGGTTGAATGATATAACCAAATTCAAACAGATGTACGTTAATTCCTAGCTTTTCTCATCTATTGTCCATCAATATTTGTGCTTCAATCTCATCTTCATATCATGATACACAGTAAGATAGTTGCCCAGAGTCATCATAATTGCATGCATTGTATGAAAATGTAATTTAATGTATATACATACATGTATATATATATACAGTATATATGTAAATTGTGTCTAGTGTTGCACAAACTCTAGTCAACATACTAAATTAAAATAGTCTAGTATAGACTATAGTCTAGAATAGGAGGATTGTCTACAGTCATGATTAAAGTTTAAAATTCATTAGAATAGGAATGACTGCATGCCAGAAAATCATTAAACACTACAATCTATAAATACAAATCTTTATACATGCTTTAACATCTGTAAACATAGTGCTAATGATTTGTGAGGCAACCCTTCATTAAAAACTTATGAGTATGTCAACCAGTTTTTTATATTTTGTTGTGTGAGGTGAATATTTATTACAAAATTGCCATAAAAATATTCTTACTAGTAATGCAATATAGTAAAAAATAACTAAGTAAGATAGTAGTATATTGTGTATAGTGTTGCACAGACTCTAGTCAACATACTAAATAGTCTAGTATAGACTATAGTCAAGAATAGGATGATTGTCTACAGTCATGATTAAAGATTAAAATTCATTAGAATAGGAATGACGGCATGCCAGAAAATCATTAAACACTAAAATCTATATCTATATCTATCTATAAATAAAAAAATCATTATACATGCTTTAACATCTGTAAACATAGTGCTAATGATTTCTGAGTTTAATAAAAACTTATGAGTAAGTCAACCAGTTTTTTATTTTTTTGTGCAAGGTGAATATTTATTACAAAATTGCCACAAAAACATATTCTTATTCTAACTATTCGTGGTAAACACCTAGTTTATAACATCTTACAGATAAACTGTCTGAAATTGTGTTGCAACTTTTATTCAGAGACAAGGGCTATACTTGCTTAGTGGCCTATTTCAAAGATAACAGTTACTATAAAAAGTTAATGAACCTAAATTACATTAAAGTGGATCATATAAACAAAGCAATTTATATGTCCACAATGTCATTAAGACACTTTAATTTACACACATACTGCATTTAGTTAACAAAAAAGATTGCCCAGTCCCAGATCTGCCAAGCCCAAAACCAAGCCCATGATTGTGGCTAAGGCATAATGATTTTCTCATGAACCAAGCCCTTATCAAAAATATAAAAGGCCTATTCTGGTCCTTCACAGGACTTAAGTTTAGCCTTCTCTTCCATTCGCTACTGATCATGCACGCTGTCACATCTGGAAGAACCACAATGAGCCACAGCCAATGTTCAGGTGCCACAAAACCTGGAAAGGCTAGCACTGGAGGTTCTTGTGGAGCTAAGGGCTTCAGTAGTTGTTCAACTGGTGGAGGGTATGGAAAAGCCAACTATTCTTCTTCTTCTCTGATACGATCAGGAGGGCCTGGAAGTTACTCTGTGCGCCTTGGTGCTGGAAGAAGTAACTATGGCACAAGCAGTCTCTACTGCTCAGGAGGAAGCAAAAGAATTTCCATAGCCACTGGCACCAATGGGGGAATAAGCACAGTGGGCAAAGGATTAAGCTTCAGTGGTGAAAGGTTTCCTCTCTGTCCACGTGGAGGTATCCAAAATGTTACCGTTAACCAAATCCTCCTTCAGCCAGTAAAAGCTGATATTGATCCAAACTTCCAGAAAGTCAGAATACAAGAAAGAGAGCAGATCAAAACTCTCAACAACAAATTTGCAAGCTTCATAGACAAGGTAAGTCAAGTTTCAAATGTTCTTTTCTGTTTAGTGAGGGAAATTATTATCTAAAAATGTTTATAAACTGTGTGTAACCTTACTGACTGTTCAGCCCTTCACAACTGTTTTAGGTCAGATTCCTTGAACAGCAAAATAAAATCCTGGAAACAAAATGGAAGTTTATGCAAGAACAAAGTAAAAAACTTGCCAACATGAAAGATAACATCAAACCATTATTTGAAGTATACATTAGCTGCCTTCAAAGACAATTGGATACCACCAAGAATGAAAAATGTCGTCTTGAAGGAGATTTGAAGAACATGCAGGATGTTGTAGAAGATTTTAAGGCTAAGTAAGTGAAACTAAACTAATGTTTCAAATCGATATGAATGAATAAATAATATTTTTATCATCATGTCAGCTTTCCAGCATTGATTCGGCTGCAACAAATAAACTATTGGCATAATTATCAGGATTATATTAAATATGTTCTGAGATATCTATAATCTTGTATGTGTGAATTAGTTCAATTTGGTGGTTACACAGATTTTATGTTTACCTTTGTTTACAGATATGAAGAAGAGATTAACAAGCGTGCCAATGCTGAAAATGAATTTGTATCTTTGAAAAAGGTATACTTTAGACTGAACTTTAATGTTATTTGGTGTGTTGTCCTTGTATATTTTATTATTATTAGGATCAGATATTTACTGTGAAACTTTCCCACCTGTAATCTTTCCAGCTGTATATTATATTTTATTAAATCCTGTTATGTTTGCAGCAATCCTGGATTCATTCTAAATGTAAAGTATGAGAAATTGTTAAGAAGCATAACACTATGTCAATCATTAAAATTCTAAGAATAATTTGTCTGAATAGAAATGTGCCTGACATCAATAATACATCTATGTTTATTTTATGAAGTTGTCGTAAAGGGAAACATTTTCTTTATTTGATATTTTCAGATTGGTTAACTAACCACCTTTCCACAGCTCTAGCTTATTTCAGAATTTTATAACATTTCTGTAATGCAACGCACCACCGACTGTGCATTACCGTGTGTTGCTCTGATACATGGTAGAACATGCATTAGGTCTAAATTCTGCTAAAATATGATGCAATACTTAATGATGACATAAATGGGAGATATTTTACTACCTACGGTGATGTAAAAATAAGTCTTCCCAATATTGCGTTCACTATGATTGTGTTTTACATTATAAAGTGTCATATTTAAGAATACAGCACCAGAACAGGTTGCAATCCCCTTCCTGATGTGCAGCTGGTGTAATGTATTTTATTTTTTGCTAAATACATAGATGATATTCTTTTTTATGAGATATGTCACCTCTCATAGGATTTGTATTTGTGTCCTTCTAGTAGAGACTTGTTTTTTCTGTGCTGCAGTTAAGTTACTCTTCAGATCTTTTCCCTCCCTAGCCTGTGAATGAACAGTAAAAGAAGATGCAGCAGACGAGCCGGTCTCTCTGTTGCTCTGCCCTCTCCTCCTCACAGTATGTCCATTTTTAGCACTTAAGCACTGCAGCACACCTGATTGGCTACTTGTGCTTCTTCTCCCTCCCCCAATCTGAGCTCTGCTGTTCAGGGGATTGCAAGAGACTAATACAAAGTCTCTAGTAATCTCCTCATACTTATACTGCTTCCGTTTAAAAAACAAACACACATTGATATATTGATAAATAAGGGCTGCATTAACATGTGCCCTTTATATCTAGAGTTGTTTCATACAAATATATTAAAAACTGTATTTGCATCAGAGATGGATTTGGTTGAATATAAAGAATAGGTAGTGAATTTAAAGCTATTTCCCAAAAAATGTAATTCACAAACTGAATCTAAATTATTGTTTTGTTGGTTTTATCAATGATATTCAAAGCACAATGCAGCCCAAGTTTTTTTTATATAGTTCTCGATAGAGTAGAGAAGAGTTAACATTGCTGGCAAATATTTATTTCTGTCTATGAATCTATTGGAGAGAGTTTAACAAATTTCTGTACCTGTGATATCTATACAAGAAATGGTAATGTGAGGTTGTCACTAGGACAAGAAGGCAGAGACGCCAATAATAACATTTTTTAAAAGTGTTTCACTCTTTCTAAACCTAAATGAGCTTTGCCCTACATGAGCAAACACAGAGTTGCTCTAAAGTAAACCTCTACTGAGAGATCAATGGAGGCTGCCATTGTTGACCTCTTTATCTGAATGCTAATTCCTGGGTCATGAATGCCTTTCTAAACAAATAACTTAGATCAAGCATGTAAGTTGAAAAGTCAGAGTGAAGTGAGAACGTCGAACTCCAGGTACTGTCCCAGGTTCCATGTTCGTTCTGTACAATATTGTTTTAAGAGACCATGGCAATAGGTTTTCAGATTTCGAGTCAGTTAGTATAGTGTTTTATGGAATCATACATTGATATCTGCATATTGTTCTGCCCATTTCAGTGGTTTACATGATATATAAATGAACAACATTTAGATATTAAGCATAGGAACATTCTTTTAACATGACTTTTAAATGCTTTTATACTTTTTTTAGGATGTTGATTCCCTATACATGCAAAAGACTGATCTGGATGGCAAGCAAGATGCATTAGTGGATGAGCTCAATTTCCTGAAGACATTGTTTGATGCGGTATGAAGCCAATTATTTTAGTCATTAAAGTGCTGATTTATCATTGGCTGGGCTGGATAGGCTGAAATAAGAGATAGAAAACCTTTTTTCATTGCTTGCACATATTGCTAAGTGTGTGTCTCAGATTTTACGACAGGAGTTAATTGCAGGGTGTATGAGATGTTTGATTAACTCCTTAGCCATTTGAATGTAGGCCCATCAAAAACACAACTTTTGTGCAAATGGAAAATTATGCAATAATAAATGTTATCATTTTAGCACGTAGATTAAGAAAACAACTTACCAAATATAAAATACAAACTGTCCTTGGAGGACAATTTAAATAAATGTTTATAAAAGGTGGACAGACGTCTGGTTCATTTGTGACATATGTTATTGTTGGATTTTGTTCATTGTGTGTTTATAGCTTGATAGAAAGTTTGTAGTGAGGCTGCTCTATCAATATGCAAATTCCTATCTTTGTCTTCAAATATTCTGGTTCTTTTTACTAGGTAGGAATGGGTCCCTTCCCCCAGGTTGGTAACTTTGCGGCATTTCTCCGCTGCAGATTGTTAATCTTTAATGTTCAGTTTACATTCTGAGGCCTACAATCGGTCATATACATTACTCTGCCACATTATAAGAGCCAGTTATTTCACATGAGAGAGCTGCAATATTACCAGAAATATCTGCATGGTTCAAGAGTTGCAGCAAACTATTATGCTTAAGAGTATTGCAGATTGCCAGAGCCTGTCCTCTTAGAGAGCTAACAAGTTGAAAGAAGACATATAGATAATATAGACAGAGAACTTTATTAAGTAAGAAATTGCAAAGTGTTAAAGCAGTCTTAAAGTGTATATAAACCCTAGAACAAAAATGTAATATATTGCAGTTTATCATTCCTTAGATGTGGTGGCGGCATTTGTTTTCTTTTTTTAAGACTACAAACATTTTCTGCAAGCACAGCAAAATATCTGTTGATCCTGTCAGAATTCTAGTGTTCTTGTTACTTCCTGGTGTCTGTAGCTCTAGTCAGGAGAGCAGTCTAGGATGACAAGGCTGCTCCTCCATAGATACAGCATGGTGAGGGAGCGTTGTCACCCTAGGACAAAAGTGTGTCCTTGGCAGAATCAACAGGTAAAAATAAAGGAAAACAGCCAGAAAAAAGGAAACTTATGCAGCCACCCCATCTAAGAACTGGTAAGCTGCAATATGTAAAATTTGTTGTTTTTGAATTTACATACACTTTAAGAGCCCTCTCACACATTGTGAGTGCAAATGCCACTGCTATGTAAGCCAATAGCAGTTAGCAGTTCAAGCATCACTCTTAAGTGTGCCACTTGCAATTAGTAGCTTAAGTATCTCTGCCATCTGTGCCCATTGCGGTTAGTTGGTCGGGTTTCTCTACCATGTGTCCTATACTAATAGATATTTTAAGTAGTGATGGACTGTTGGGGGGCAGGTGCTTTGTTATCCAGAGCATTGAGCTCAGCAGTTGTAACACATTCTTACACTTGCTCCTTACAGGAAGTGGCTGAAATGCAAGCACGAATTTCTAACACCAATGTTATCTTGACTATGGACAACAACCGCGACCTTGATTTGGATGGAGTTGTTGCTGAGGCTAAAGCTCAGTATGAGGAGATTGCAGCCAGGAGCAGAGCAGAAGCTGAATCCAACTATGCTAGACAAGTAAGTGATCAGCAATAAATACATTGATATTGTTTCTAATTGGTTACTTTGTGACATTGCATAGGTATACTTAAACTTGTTCCCAGACTTTGCACATTTCAGGATTTACATATTCTACACGCAGTAAAATCAATTTAAAACAAGCCTTCATTCACCTGAAATGTACCTGTTTCATTCGCCTTCATGCACCTGTAAGATTGTTCAAAGTTTACAACTGGGACACTGAAATCACAGCTCCTTTCCCCTTACTTTCTATGGAGAGCAGACTCCAAGCAGCCTGCCAGCCCTCTGATGTAAACACACAGCAGTTACTTGTAAGCTGCTAAAAAAAAGAAAAAAAAACTGAAACCAGACTTCAGAGTCTTTGTTGTGATCTTTGAGGATGAATTACTTCACAGTACAAGCAGCTACAGAGGACAGTGATGGCTTTTTAAAAAGCTGTCTTTATGTTTAACCCCTTCGTGACGGGAGACGTACAGCGTACGTCCTGTCACTTTGTGCCTATATGACTGGCCACGTACACTGTACGTGACGAGTTATATCAGGCTTTGTAATGCCGGTAATAAAACCAGCTCAGTCATGAAGGGGTTAATACGAATATGTTCCCTCAGAGTACAATAATAATTTTTTTTGTAGGGTTGATCATCGACTGGTATCTCGATAGATCAAATTATTTTACTAGATAAATAAACAATTTCATATTTTCAGCCCCTTGTATTGCTTTATTAATTTTGTAGTACAATTTGATACCTATTGTTGACACACACCTTCATCCTTCAAAACATTCAAGTATAAAGTAACCAAGAACTGATTTTTTTTTTACCATTTGGAATGTGTGGAAGAGAGTTAACCATGATCAGATGTTACTATCAGTGTGCCCATTTGGGCAATTTTCACTCACTTTCTATCCCAATGACTAAACAGGTGCTCTTTGTTGCTGTCCATGTTCTATTTAAATCCTAACAGATGCTGTAAACTTTTCCCACTCTGTCCAAAATAAAAAAGACCATAGTTCTACATTACGTAATGTAATTTACATTCATGTAGTAGAGCATATTTTTCTGTTTTATGACATGATATAGTCTATAATATAACATTTTAATTATTGCTTAGTTTATGATAAATAGTACACTTTGTCTTAAATATCAAACTGTTTGCACGTTCTTGACAGTTCCAGCAGCTCAAAGACACATTGGGACAACATGGGGATAATCTGCACGATCATAGGAATGAGATTCAGGAACTGAACGGCATGATTAGGAGACTGCATGGAGAAATCGACTGTGTAAAGAAACAGGTAAGGCCTTTCTTTCTGTACACCCTGTATCTTGTTTCCTGTTCCTTTTCTGGATGAACACATGATATTCCACCAGCTAATAATCATTTAGTTTTCACATCCTGCAAAATTTCTCAACTGAACTTCAAGCAGATATAAAAAGGCAGTTTCATTTGGTTGTGTATTGATTACAAATTTCAAATGTAGACTAGCATTAAACTGTGAATTTGTCTTTGCAAGAAGCTTGTAGTAAGCTTAACGTAAGTTTTTAAGATTTTTAAAAAATGACACATTTATTTTTCTAATAGATTTAGAACTATGCCCACTGTTTAAAGTATCATTATTTTCTACAGATTTGTGCACTAGAGACAGCAATTTCTGATGCTGAAGGGCGAGGGGAGGTTGCTCTGAAAGATGCCAAAGCGAAATTATCTGAACTGGAAGCTGCTCTACAGAAAGCCAAAGAAGATCTTGCAGTTCAGCTACGCAACTACCAGGAACTCCTTAATGTGAAAATGGCCTTGGATCTTGAGATTGCCACCTACAGGAAACTTCTGGAGGGAGAAGAATGCAGGTAGGTGCTGTAATACTGGCCTTGAAAAGAAGCAACATACATCTAACAGCAAACTTGTCTTGCACCATTTAAGCAAACGTTAATAGTGTATTTACAATTTGAGTCTTTAATTTCTTAGGTCTTTAAAGCAGATCTTTCATTATGAAAAAGGGACAGACTCCATGAGATTCACTACACATGATATTAGGAAGCCATGCATGTTATTTTTCTATGTATTCTGATTGTCAAAATGGTTAAAAGAGGCGGGGAGTGCCTTTTTAACTTCTAGTTTAGGTGGATGTGTACCAGTTCACCAGGAAGGGGATCACAGCTTTTTTTCCCCCTTTACCATCCCAACCATTAGTGTGACTTCACCATTTCTCACTCTTCATGGCTTCACCCATGTAATGAGCCTCACCTCCACATGCAGTGCCCAGGTATTGAACTCTTCTCTATGGTCCCCTGTGTTCTGTGCCTCACTTCCTACCTCCAGAATCCCTCTATACTACTGTTTTCCCCATCTACGGGATCCCCCCTCCCACCCACTGCCTTCTTACACCCATCTCAGTCTCCAACATCCCTTCCATAATGTTCCTTATTTTTTTACAAAAAAAACGTTACTCATATGAATTTGTTATGCTAGCGGGTTTAATACAATTTATGGCACTAACACTGTTTATTTATTGCAGGATTCATGGAGAAGTTGACAACAACGTTACAATGTGTAAGTTTAGCTATAAACAGAAATATACTTTATAATCCTTGAACCTGAAGATTAATCTGTTTATATTTTGCCTTCTATTGTCCCTCCTTCCCCCCTACATCAACTTGCCAATGAAATAAAATAAAAAAACTTTCCATTTTCATTACATAAATAATTTAGACCCAGTGATGAATGTTGAGTTGAATACTAAGGCACGGCGTTGTGATGTTTTAAGTACAGCACTGCACACAGATCATGGTCGGTGGAAGGAGCCAGCAGGGTGCTGTACTGAAAACATCACAATGCCCTGCCTAAGTATTCAACTCAAGAAACCTCAACCCTGATGCATGCAGCATCGGGAGGAGTTATGCATGCTCCTTTAGGAGGAGTTATGCATACAGACTGCCCTACATAATACCCACATATGATGCTATGCCTTAATGATTGAGAAAAATGGTATCCAGTGAATGAAATAGGCCAGGGACAATGAGGCTGGGGAGGAATGAGCTAAATAATTTAAAGTATTTAATGAGACACAGAGGGGAAAAACACCTGATAGGAATTTAACCATCCCCTCTTCTATCCAGAACTAAAAAACAGAATTTTATCTTTAGAAATACTTTATTGTAAATTAAAACATGGAAGTAGAATTTCACAATGTATGAATGAGAATTTCTTAGCAGATGTACAGACCCTGGATCATTTGAAAGGGGGAGTCCACACCAAATTGTCATTTCAGTTTTGCCAAGATGCCAGCAGCTTACCTATCACCAGCTTTATATAGATCTCTTGGAGATTCTGTGGGAGCAATCTCTGCACCTAAGTGCTAGGCTCCAAGGACTTACCATGATCATTACAAGGGGTCTTGCTTTCTTGGCTTTAATTAATGTTAAAGTGAAAATTTTTTTTTTTTTTTTTGTGGGGTTGGTGGTACATTGACTCAAATGTTGACTGCTTGTACCTGTTGACTTGTTCACCATTGGATTCACTAAGAGATGCAAAATTCCACTGGAACAACCCCATGTGAGTTCTTTTAGTTTTGGGTGGCGCTGATCTTTAAGGAAATTGTAGCTGCAGGGCTTGCTGTCTCAAGATTAATGAGATTCCATTACTACAAGGAGTAAACCAGGGATCACCAGTGGCATGATCCCATAAGCAGAGCATACATGATAATCCAGGGATTAGTTAAATTTCCCTTGATCTGTTCTCTTCAGTTTATCTGTTTCAGTAAGTTTTCATTAAAGGAATTTATCAGCAACAATAAATGCAAACACAAAAGATCAGAGGTACATGCATCATACAGAATCAAACTCTGAATGGGAACACAAGTTACAATGTACAACAGTATACAGATAGTCAAATATTTGTCTGCAGCAGCCTAGGCCCAGCTACACAAATTGTATACTGCTAAAAAGGGTATGGGGTAGCTGTGTAAACTAGTTTTCTGATCTTAATTGAAAATGGAAACAGGAATCGGTTTATTTTTTAATTTCTTTTATTTATAGGTATACATGCCTTTTCCAGTTAAAATGCCATTTTAGGTTTGTTGTAAATGTTTTTCTTTAAAAGTGGTCTGTTTTTCCTTTGCAGCTGTCTATAGCAGTGCCGGGAAGGTTGCCATTCCTAGTTTGAGTTGTGTTGCAGGATCCTGCAGTGTCCCGAGGAGCAGTGCAGCTGGAGGTAGGAATGCAATGTGATTTGCTGTGGACTTTCCTACCAATTTAATTATTTCTGTCACCTCCACCAAGGTCTTTATTATTAACTATCTGTATATCTTTACAGCTGGGTATAGCAGCATCCTTAAGTCAAGCAATACTGGCGCTTCTGGTTGTGGAACAGGAACGTGCCACATCAACAGCAAAGTAGCTAATGCCACAGGAGGCATAACAGCACTTCTGTCGACCACTCACACCAAGAGGGCATATTAAAGCAATATAAATACCTTTAGTAGCTGTGCCAATCTGTTGCTCCAAAAGCTACTTTATTACTGAAAGCTGCTTTGCATGAAGCTTTGTTAATAAGTGAGGGAAAGATCTGTATTTGGTACTGTTTTCTGTTCTTTAGCTTTGGCAATCTAAAATGACATAATTACTTATAATCACTCAGATGATTAGTATGTCCTTCATCTTGCACTATGTACCTAATTATACTGTACTTGTATGTACTGTTTCTTGTACCTGTGTACCTATAATTCAATAAACTGCATGATAAAGTCATAATGCTATTTTGTTTCACTTACAATACAACTATATTGACTTGTTAACAGTAACAAATTAAGGTATTTGAGCAAGGCCATGACTCCAACCTTCCTGACACAGGATTGAAAACCTGATAGAAATTTTAAGCCTTTCCCACATTTTTTACATCACACACAGCTATGACATGCATGTTTTTTTCCTAGTCATGGAACTGCAGGCGACATTCTAAATACAAATAAACACAAAGCAAACTTTGAAATATGAAATAAAACACTAACACTCTTGTTATGGCAAGAAATGACCGCTGCATTTTTTATTGGTTTACTCAATGCATTAAATAATTAGGATTAAAATAAGTATATGTAGCATAACTTTATTAAAGATAACCTCAACCAAAATAAATAACTACTGCTTGGCTAGAAAAGCCCAAGCACACCAATAAGAATAAAATAGGAAATCATTTTAAAAATGTTCCCTCAAAGAGATGAGGAACCACATAAACAAATGTCGTGACGAGCGAAAAAAGGGGGGTGGGAGGGGGGGGAAGCTCATCTGTATGACGGGTGACAAAAGAGGAGAGGGTCACAATGGAGCCGGTTTAACCACCTCCCATCCATGGCCATTCCTGAACGGCCGGACGGGAGTCTTGTAGGAGCAGAAGGGCATCTTAAGACGCCCTGCCCCGCTCGTGTCAGTGATGGCTGTTTACATTCAAGCAATCGGGCATCTCTAGAGACGCCCAATCGCTTGCAGGAGCTGTGGGTGTGCGCCCCCCCGTACCTCTGCCGCCCTCTCCGCCGGTGCCGAGATCCGCTGTGCCCGGTGCGGCTGCGACCGGCACGGCGACGCACTCAGTTGAGATCAGTACACGATCTCCCTTTGATCTCTTCTCTGTCCCTGAAAGCAGGAAATTATGTATATTACATCACTTCCTGCATTCAGTGTCACTTTCCGGTACAGAACACCGGTTAGAAGCTGATAAAGCAGATCTGTGCTTCATCAGCTTCTCTGGGGGTCCCTAGGGGACATTAGGGGTCTTAGAGACCCCTGATGTCTCCATAAAGAGGAACTGTCATGTAAATTGGCTATCACATAGGGGATTTCTTAGTCCCCTATGTGATAACAATAAAGTTAAGTGTAAAAAAAAAGTTTAAAAAAAAGTAAAATCATACAAAAATAAAGAAGCTAAAAATAGTCACAAATAAAAAAAAAAGTAAAATAACACAGTTTTTTTTAAAAGTCCCCCGCTCCCCCACATACACACGCAAACAAAAGAAAGCTCTATCTGTCCTCAAAAAATGGTATAAAATTCATTTCAGTACGTTGCATGACGCAATAAACGTCAGTCAAAGTACTGCAGAGCTGAATACTGAAAAATGGCCTGGCCAGGAAGGGGAGTTTAACACCCTGATCTTTAAGTGGTTAAATAGGAGTCTTTAGCCAATCAGAGGCCAGTGAAGAAAGAGAATCTTCCCGCCTAAAAAGGTAAGTCTGTCTGGATACTGTAGTGGACCAATCACCTGTCAGGGAGAAAGCAGAAAAGAGCAGGAAAAGATGGGGGAAGGGAACACATACTAGTCGCTGCAGTTCCATGGGGGGGGTCACCTAGGGCTCGTTCATCCCCTCGGACATTACTCAGTGACTAGGAACTTGATAGTATTACTGATAGAAGTAGACAGGGTGATTACCGTGGTTTTGCATTCTATCTGCTGATTTTATTCAGCTAAGGAACTATAACAGGTGCAGGCTAATTAACAGAAAGGAGGTGTACCTGTGGGAAAACTGCAGAACCCAGTCTTAGCCAGGGAAAGTTGCCCTTTCACATATCCTCATATACCCTGCCACATATCCAGGGATCTCAAGTCTCCCTGATGTTCAGGGAGTCCCCCTCTATTGGAAAGCGGCTTTCAGGTAAGATATCAGTGGGTAAAGTTTCAGAGTGAGGCTTGCCTACTGGAGGAAGGTCATGTGATCTCTAGAGTAGCCTCAGAGTGAGACTTGCCTCCTGGAGGAAGGTCATGTGATCTCTAGAGTAGCCTCAGAACGAGGCTTGGCTCTCAGAAGGAAGAAGCTACTTGCTGCACAGAGAGGGCGGACATAGACTACTAATGAGAGCAGGTACAGGCACTGCTGCAGGGTTGAGAGAGTGCTATTAACCCTTTGTGGATAATATGGAATCAATGATATGTCCTGGTTGTCTAGTTATAGAGAACATTTATTTAATTTGCTGCCCATAGCAACTAGTCAACTATGTATCAGGGACTTTACTGGTGACCAGAACTGGACCGCGTACTCCAGATGTGGTCGAACCAATGATCTATAAAGCGGCAAAATTAGCATATTTAGATTATTTTTTACGTAAATGCAAACGCCCCCCCCTTCTCTCCCCCTTTTACTGTGCGTGTGTGTATATGTGTGTGTCTGTGTTTGTATGTATGTATGTATATATATATATATATATATATATATATATATATATA